TAAAAAAAAAAAAATCATAGAATCATTTTGATTGGAAAGGCGCTTAAAGATTGAGTCCAACTGTTAACCTAGCACTGCTAAGTCCACCACTAAACCATGTCCCTAAGCCACCACATCTACATGTCTTTTAAATGCCTCCAGGGATGGTGACTCAACCACTTCCCTGGGCAGCCTGTTCCAATGCCTGACAGACCTTTTGGTGAAGAAATTTTCCCTAATATCCAATCTAAACCTCCCCTGGTGCAATTTGAGGTTGTTTCTTCTTGTCCTATTGCTTGTTACTTGGGAGAAGAGACTGACACCCACCTGGCTACAACCTCCTTTCAGATAGATAAATAGTAAATGCCAGTAAAATTTTAGTAATTCCTTCGATGCCATAATATTAAAGGTCCAGTATCAGAAACCTAAAGAACAGCATAATGTCAGAAACTACAGTGATTACAGTGAGTTGCTTAATACTTGTTAGAAAGCCGAAACCTATTAAAATATGGTCAGGAAAGAAGGGGAATCCTTCCCATAGAGATGTGTGGTGTTGATGGTTTCTTCCTCCTCATTGTTGTGTTTTCTTGAGTTGGTTTTTGTTTTCCAACATACTCTGTGCTTCGCTCTTTCTTCATTACTTTGCAGTTCCATGTTACATTATAATTTCTTGTCTGTATGGTGTGTTTTACATATGCTGGATGCTTGTTCTTTGTTCTGTTATCCCCCAAACTGTTACTGCCCATTTCTCAACCTTGGTTTCCTTGTACCTGTAATTAGCAATTGGTGTGTTGTTTGTAGCCTTGAGGCTTCTGATACCATCCTGTGCCTTTATATTCAAGGCCTCTGCTGTCATTCTGTGCTTGTGCTCCTCTGCAGCTTTTTACTTTGGTGTCATGGGCAATTCATTCCCTACAGAATAACTATTGGTTATTGATAGCTATTAAATACAGAAATATACACACACACTCTTATTTGTATGTAGAATGTGTGTGTATGTGTACTCATGTATAGCTTTCACTTAGCTTCAGACAATTGTGTGATGTGCCACCAATTGGTTTTACATATATGGAATATATATAACATTTATATGCAAATTTTTATATTTAAATAGTATTTATGTATGTGTGTGTATTTTACATACAAATATTTATAAAAATAGATGTTACATCACACAATTGTCCGAAGCTAAGCAAAAGCTATACGTATTAGATGAGTCCTTAGATAATTGCTGTTACTGTTGAACAAGCTAAAACGAAGCTCCAGGCAGGCCAAGGCAAGTCCAGATGCCTGGTTATTAACTTAATATGAGGTCCATGGCCTGTTACAAGCAATGCCAGCACCTTGTTTATGGGGTTATACTGTTCCCGTAAGAAAATGCAATTGTAGGTATCCCACCTTTTACTTTCGAAGTTACAGTTATGGAAAGGCTCATGCACAGGCGAATGCAGAGAATAATTCTGCTGAGCTTTATTTTACTAGCTGACTATACTAAAATTACATATTCCATTCTGCAGGAAAGGTTTATGGGGACAACTTGGCTTGACAATGAGTTTTTTAGAACACGCACTGATCTTAAGTGGCCCTGATTACAAGTGTACTCTCTGAATATATAGGAAAAGGTATCAGACACTCCATGTACCAGTAGAAATGGCAACCAGAGGCCTTCTGTCTGATTTCTAAGGAGCAGGGAAGAAATCTATCTGAAGGAATGGTGTCATGTTCCTGGTTGGAATCATTGTCCTTGGAGGCAGATCCTCTAGACAGAACTGATGCAGGCTCCAGAAGTGCCATTGAATGTACTTAATTTAGGAGATGCTGTAAGAATTTGTTTGCTTCTGCAGTTCTGATGTTCTTTTAATTACTGTGGTGTGGTTTTTAGTGAACCTGGAACTCCCCTGTGAAGTCAGTTTGGGATACAATTTATACTTGGTAGGTTTCTCATTCTTAAAGCAAACAAGAAAGAGTTGGTTTAGCTAATGATGTATCACATTACTGGTGAATGAACCTGTTCAAAGAAGAAAACTAAGATGAGTGAAGAATAGGAGAAGGGGGGGAAAAAAGAATATACTAGCAAACTGCTTGTAGTTGGTCAACTTCTACTGTAATGAGTACTGAAAAAAATACTGTGCTTGTCACCTCTGCTTAGCTTTTCACATTACTAATAAGTTAAGAAATATAATTTTCATGTCTTAAGAGTTCTTCTTTTCAAAACTGGTCATGTGACACGTGCTTTGTATACACTTTTATTCTTGTTGCCGTCAAACGTATTGCTTATTTGACTACTTAATGTAATTTTACTTGTAAGCTTACGTAATTCCATGATGATTGTGTTGTCTACCATTCATCACTCTTGTCACTTTGACTTTCCTAAAAGTTTGTGCTCCTATTTCTTAAGTGTCAGTCAGCTGTTCTTTTAATGTTTACCCTCTAGTTAGAAATGTTCCCCATCTGGTGTGTCTTATTTTTTTTTGTTGTTGCTGTTGTGTGATATCTGATTTGAATTATTTTCTTGTAGCTTAATTTTCTGTAACTTAGTTTGAGATATAATCTGTCTTGGAATAAACATGGGAGAAAGGGCCTGGCACATCAAAAAAAGCATATCTGGCTTGAGGAGAGAATCTAACCATAACTGTAACTATAAAAAAAATTAGTGTTTTACTGTCTGCTATCTGTAAGAATTAGTAAGATGCTAGAACTTCTAATGATGCATCCACAGATTAATATGACTTCAGTAGATATTTAAGTGTGTTCAAGCGATGAAATATTTTTGTGAGCTGGTATGTAGCACTAGACTAGAAGAAATATTTTAGGTTCTATTTAGTATGACTTGAGTTTATGGCTTTAAAAGATGTAAATGTGCAGCACTCATTCCTTGTGGACATAATATATTCAGGGTGCATAGGCTGCTTGCCTGTACTCCTAAGCACTTAAAGCTTGCATTCTGAATAGTAAAAATGTAAATAAATGTGGGTTTTGTTGTTTGTTTGTTTTAATTAAGTAGCTGTCATATAGACACAATGTTAGAAACTTCTTTTGCAGATTTGAAGCAAGTTCAGTATAAACAGAAAGTAATTCCTATATTAAGTGGTGTATATATTTCTGACATCTTTCAGTAGTAAGTCTGTTGTGGTGTCCTTCATAGAGAAGTGAAGATGATGTATGGGAAATAATGTGCTTTTTGAAACAAGTCATTCTGCAGTATGAATAAATGGCTACCTCCACTGGCAGGGACTTAAAAGAATGGCAGCAGAATTGAGAATCCATGCCCTAGATTTCTGTTGCAAAACAGTTGCGCAAATAACCCCTTCCCATAAATAATGTAGTGATCTTCCTGGCTCGGTTGCTGTGGATTGCAGCTATAGAATCAACTGAAACCACAGCCTATTTTAATATATAAAGTACTCTCTATCGGGGGGCAAAAAGAAATCTTGGTGAGCTTGCTTGATATATTAATGTTAATGCAGCTACAAGACAAATTTGCAACTGAGGGAGCTAATGTGAAAGATGGATTTAAAGGCAATTTGTATCTCTTAGGCTGCTCTGCTCCTGTATATCTAGGTCACTTAACATCTTCTGCAACCCTCACTGCTATTTCTTCCAATCAGCAGTGCTAAGAGCATGTATAACTTTAAAAATTAATGTAAAGCAGTTGATAGGAATTTGGCTCTTGTTCAGAGAAAAGATACAAATGGAATTTGAGAATTGAGGTTTTCTAAACTGGTAAAGAGCAGGAGTGCAGTTTCTATGTAAAAAAACAAAAAAAACAAAAAAAAACACCAAAAAACAACAAAAAAAAACACCAAAAAAATGAAACAAAACAAAAAAAAACAAAACCCAAAACAAAAACCAGACAACCAAAAAAAAACAACTAAGACTGGAACACCAGCAACAGTAAGACTTTTTATTTGTGTGGTCTTTCTTTTGTGGTACAGCTTTATAAAGGAATTAAATTATTGTGTCTCTTACTCTGGGCAGCTGCTGAAAAGCTACAAGATTGTGCTGATTAAAGTCCTACTTATTCATGGTTGGGTCCTATTTACTTCTTGGGCTAACTGTGTCTCTATGTTTGTCTTCTGTGAAGTTGCTGTAATTAAAAACATGAGTTTATAGCAACTGTTTAGTAGATTTTTGCTTCAAAGACAACACTAAAAGCTTTACAAGATAGCTTCTTTATTTGTCTGCCCTTCCCTTAGCCTATACCTTTTCAGATTTTTTTGTTTAGTATGTGTAAGGATATGATTACAGTTGTAGTAGTAAGTTTCGTATGCTTATATTTCATAGAAACACCTTTGATACTTCTCTAGATTGTGTTATTTTTATTGGTGCTTCATGTAGTGGATGGGATGTCAATAAAAAACCCAATGCATCTAGATTCTTGTTCTCTAGAAGATTCCAGTTGAGTCTTCAGGGTTATAGAAAAAGCTGCTTATTTTTTCATAAGTATGACTTGTAATTCATACTGTTAAAAGCTTCATCTTATTTCTGATACTTAAACTGAAAAAGCAGATGATGATCCATGCTGATGAATCTCCTTTTTCCTAACTATGTGCAACTTCTCTTTCTTGATTTCATCGGTATAGTTCTATTTCTGTGATCATTTAATTAAAACATATACCACAGAAGAGACATTCTGATATTGCCCTTGAACATTAGATTTTGGATAAACAAAGGCTACATTAGATGAAATTATGTATACCATAATTTGAAGCATAGACACCATCCCTTCTACTATTCCACTGCAGTTATTCCATACGCTTCTGCTGTTCCTGCTGCAGATCATACTACTGGGGTTGGTGACAGAAGCCCAGAGTGGGGACACACAGGCTCTGAGATATGGGGCGCAGAGAGTGAGTTCTGTATCCTGTGGGGAGGTTGACGTGATCTTGGTGATGCAGCTTCATCTGTAATAGGTAGATAGAGCAGTAGGTACCTAATTTGTTTTGCAGAAGGAAAATGTTAAGATCTGAATGCTATAGTCACTATAAAGCCTAACTTCTCAATTTTTTCCACATCTTTAGATATTCAAGAATTTTATGAAGTGACCTTATTGGACAATCCAAAATGCATTGATCACTCTCAGCCATCTGAACCAATACAGCCTGTGAATACCTGGGACTTCTCCAGCCTTCCAAGCACAACAGTGACATCAGAAACACTGCCAAGCAGCCTTAGCCCAAGCGTAGAGGTATGATATAGAAATCGCTGGTTTATTTTTCTTGTTGAGACTGTTAGTTCAACATTGTTCTCTACATTTCCTTCATTTTATAAAATATTTATTTCCATAGAAAATGTACATTATTAAGATCAATAGTCATGGGGGATTTAATTATTGAAGTATTTAATAACAGATATGTGCCTTTTGCTTAGTCAAAAATTTATAAACCTGTTTGTCAAATGTACCACTAAGTGATCATTAAATTGGATTTATGCTCTGAATTTGGAACATGGCTAACAGGCTCAGTATGCTTGTACTCATCCGTACTCATGACTCTTTAGTCATTACTTTGTTAATAATTTGGGAAATCTGAAGCTGTATCCTTCTGATAGTACACTTCTTAGTCTGTTTGTAAGAAGTTCTCTGCAACTTATACAGCTGTGTTCTGGAATGACTTTTGGAAAACAACATGAATCCTGTTGTCACCAGTGAGTGGAGAGGAAACTGAGCAGGGAAATGCACATTGATGTGTATTTTCACTAAATTAAGATACTCCGGCCCAAGTTAAAGCTAGTGTTGCTTGATATTTTTTATTTATTTTTTTTAATCAGCCCTATTATTTGTCCCCAAAGAGGTGAACGTTGTTTTAAGTGTGCCCTCAATACTGACAGCATTGGAAAAGGTGTGTGAGCTTCTCATTAGTAACTGAAGGCAGTGTGCTGTGATGACTCATTTTAGTGAAATGGAAATACAGCTCAGGAAGAGCACTGGGGGGAGAGCAGCCACAGGACCAGTGCCTGCAGCCTGTAGGGAAGCTCAGGAGATTGTGCTACCCAGGAAGATAAAGTGCTTAGGATGCCCTACGGAGTGAACTCCATCAGAAACTGTTTGCACAGTATAAGAAAGTCCTCTTAGCTGCAGAACATAAGTGTGTGATGTTCTAGTGAGTTTATGCGGTTTAAAAAAAAGTGTTTGTGGTTACTGTAGCTTTTCTGAAATTTGTCATATTGAAGCTAGTATGAAATGCGTCAGAAATGCCTTAAAGGAAACTATAGAGGCAATCAAAGAGTTGTATTGTGTTCTCTCAGAAAGTAGAAAATGGCTAGTAGATAAAAGATCAGCCTAGCCAGGGACAAGAGTTATATGTTGCTGAGATCAGTCGTTAAGGTCTTCTTTACATGAAAAATCTGAGCAGCCTAGGTATACTGTATTTTTCAGGTTTGTATGTAATTGAGCACTGAGGGAATAAAAGTCTAGTTGAATTTGCAGTGTAGGAATTGATTATTTTCCTTTGATTTTATTGTGAATCTTGATTATACACTGGAAAATTTAAATTATATGCCTCTTGGGAATCTTAGTAGCCTTCTCTAGGCAATTTCAGGTAACTGTCATCATAGTCACCGTGATGAAAAATTTCTCTAAGAATTGTAATTTTGGGAGAAAATCAAGTAATGCTAGGGTATATGAGAAATAGTATGGAAAACACCGTTGTGCTATTTACTTGTATGCCATCATCTAAATCTTAGGCTTTGAGCCATAGACGTCTCTTTCTGAAGGTATGGGAGAAATACTGTCTCTTCAAAGCAGGAGCAAAATGGACTGTAGACAGTAGGCTAGGATAGGCAAAGTTCATTTTGTCTACTGAGGGGTTTTGAAATAAGCTGGTTCTAATGCATGTCATCTTTGCATGTGCAAAGAACTTAATGAGGCAGTTTGAGAGTCATTTTAGTCACGGAGGATGGATGAAGCTCCAGAAAATTGCAGATGGACAAACACTTCAAAAGGTTGTATATAGGAGCAAGGCAGGAAAGGAGGAGTCAGGTTTAACAGGTACAGAGGATGATTCTACAGTCTTTTTGTAGCTCCTTGAAAGTGATAAAGGAGCCAAATAATAGCCATTGTAGTTGCTTGACAAAACTGTTATCAAGAGTTTTTCTAACGTGGTAATAGTTGTGGTAATAGAAACAGTGGTAATAGTTGTGGTAATAGAAACAGTAAATGTGATTAAATTATGGGTTAAGTAAAACTTATGGGATGGTTTAACAGGTTATCTTTTGAGATAATATATCAGTTAAAGTTTCTAAAAGAATGCATCCTAGTTTGAGTTATTAGTGAAAATATCCTGATTAAGTTATAAATTAAACCATGAGAGGAGAATGACATGTTGCTGCTTTAGAAGATAAGACTAGAACGAAGCCTGGAGCAGTTGAAGTAATTAATGGGCAGGCTCTAGTTCAGTAGGACCAAGTACAGTGTCCTGTACTTTGGTTGTACTAAAGTAGCACCTGTAAAAGTTGACTAGTTAAGAAGTAGTTTCTAAGGAAAGATCTGGGTCATTTTTGAATTTTAAGGTGAGTTAAACATGTCATGTTAATAGATGAAAAAAACCTTATTGACGTAAGTGTGTGGTGTAAAAAAACTGTTCTGTTCTACTTGGTCGATGTAAGGCTTTGCTGGAGATATTGTCAAATATACAGTACTATTGTGCAAAGATGTAGAAGAATTTCAGTGCTTAGAGATTGACAGGGAAGTTTGAAAGTAAATGAAGATGGATGGAAGGATTTGGTGCTGCTTAAAAGAACTGAACACTTAATTGGAAAACAGATCTTTTTCTGTGTTTGTCGGCAAATGTAAAAAAGGAAGATAATGTTTAGTGCCTATACAAGATGTATCAGGTTTAGACTATAGTAATAGGCTTAGCAAAAACATTTAAAATGTTTTACGAAGCACCAGAATAACTGTACGTGGGCAGTCTCCCTTACTAAAGGTCTTTAAAGGCAGTGTAACTGTCTCAAATGGCTTAAATGTTGTTGTGGTTTTTTTTTTTCCCTCAAATACACTTGGGAACAGTGGCTTGAGGCTTTATGTCCCTACCAAGCCATATATTGTTGTTAAACATGCTCTTAGTTCCAACAGCTGGGACTGTGAAGGAAGTATCTGCTGCTGTGAGATTTGTTGTTACGTGTTCCAACTGTAGCACGTGTTTTGTGCTTCCACTGTAGGGGAAACCTGCTGAAATCTGAAGTGCAGAATAGTGCATACTGTTAAATCCAGGCTTTATAATTACTTCTCCCCTGCCCCCCCTCCAGAAACTGGAAAGCTTAACCTATAAGTTTGCTTATTTTGCAACCAAGATGTTCACAATAAGAAAGACTAACTTGTTAGGTAAAGGATAGCGTTGTCCTTGTGTCTTTCTAAAGTTTACATAAAGATGTATGTGAAGGTGCAATTTAGTTACAAAGTTGCATGCTTAGTTTTTATTCTCATGTGCTAGTAGACTGCCAGTGTCCATGACACTGCACTGATGACAAGAGGCACATTGTCATGGCAAGGTCACTAATGTGTTGAAAGGAAGAATGTCCTGATTTGGGAAGTCTCACCATAGACTTAAGTGTATGTTCTCATCTGAACTGTTTTGCTAGATAATGCAAATGCTCCTCCAGTACAGTCTTGTGGTCATGGTACATAGTATTACCGAACAGAACTTGATATAGCGTGAATTACTTTGTCATTTTTAAGTGGCCCAGATTTGAACATTTATGATAAAGCCACCTGTCTTCCTTCAGATTTTTGTCTCGAGTATCATGTGAAAGAGTTGTTTGACCTTCAGCATATGAAGGTCAGATTTTATGTTTACTGCCAGTATTTAAGAGCATAATTGCATGTATTGATATTGACCTTAGTTTATATGAAACTGAAACCAAACTTTTCTCACAGTGTTTGTCACCTGCACTAAATGTTACCTTGTGTTTCATTAGTTACAATACTGTTTCCACATTATAGTTGTAAGGTTGGGCAAATTTGAAGAGTGGTAGTTCAGTGTTGGTTTCATTTGCTTTTTCTAATATATCTGAATGTCTTAGTTTAGCTTTCGAATATCTATGAAAATTATGATAAACATATCTTCTACATTTTATCAGCCTTAATACTTTCTTCAGTGACTGTTCTTTAAATTGATATATTTGTAAGGCAATAACTTTCCCTCAATAGTTTGAAATTTAATAGAAGTTATGAAGAGAAATTCTTATGTATTGACAGTTTATATTCCACATACTTGATGTGTGTAGTACCTGAAAATTAATGTTTTTATCCTGTAAAACAATGCATTTTGGTTTCAATAATATCCTACTTTTTTAGATACTTAGGGTTTTTTTTAATATATTTGGTTTTAATCAATGCAAGGGCATAACAATTCTGGTGCAGCATGTGTTTAATGACTTGTTTTGCTTATTGAAAATTGCTAGAAATTAGAAGAAACTTTAGTTTATCTGACTTTGTTCATAGCCAGCATTTTTTTTTTAACAGCAACTGTCACTTATTAGATTTGCAAGGCTGCTGCCCAATTCAGTATTAGTTCATTAACCAGACCAGCATACGAGATGCACTTAGAGATTAATTTTAGTTCTATTCTGTTGCTTGCCAGGCTGGTAGAACTGTAGGTGAAAAGAATGGGACAGGTTTTCTTTCTTGCTTGCAAATTGTTAACCTTGGAAGTAATATCTTCCAATTCTGTTTCTTTTCTATTAATGGTATATTTTTGCTGTAATTACTCGGGGCCAAATGAGTGTTCTTCCAGCTGACAGTTTGATGGTATATGTGAGAGTTGCTTGAGAGTGGGAATATAATGCTCTTCTAAAGTGATTAAGGATTGTATTACAAGAACTTCTACACAGCTGACTTTCGGAATGACTTTTTAGCAATGTGTGCTTGTGTATATACATAGAATAGTGGTATACAAGCTTAGGTTGTCTGAGGACTTTTGATGGGACGTAGCCTAGTTTTGCTTTTGCCTTCCTACTTTGGGATCAAAAGACTGGAGTTTGTAATCCCCATAGGTGTTGCATTAGAGAAAATTAGAGGTACAGATTGCAGTTTTCCTGTTCACGGGTGTTTTTTTTTTTTTTCCCCCCCCCATGCTTTATGTTTCCTGGAACCTGATTTGACAGTCTTACTTGTTTTAATCTTCAATACAAAAAGATGATGGGGGTGGAAGGAAAAAAAAAAAAGAGGTTCAAGACAGTGATAAGCAG